ACATCGCGGGCTGCCGGCGGCGAGGAGGCTGCGAGCCGTGTCGAGGGCGGGCTGCGGAGTGAGGCAGGCGGCTGCCGGCGCCAAAGTGTTTGCCGAAGCCACCGAGCCGGTCCCCAGCGCCAGCGCTGCCACCACCCTCCGCCCTCCACGGCCCAGAGCGCCGCCCCCAGCTTTCCGGTGTCGTAGTCTAGGAAACCGCCTCCCCAAGGCTACTTCCGGGTAGAGCAACAGCGGGATAGCCTCAGGACCAATGGAAACAACCTCGGAGAGGGGCCGGTCACAGCGACAGAACGGGGCATTGGCCAGGAGAAGCGGGACGTGGCCAAAAGGCGGGACTGGGCAAGGAGCTGTCCCTTCGACCCACCTCCGACCCCAGGAGTTGTCACTTGGGGACTACTAGTCCCAAAGTGCACCGCTTCCATAGCCTCTCCTACAGCCCCAGGCGCAGGCGCCTTGCTAAATGTCTGCCTAGTGGCGCGCTGCCTTCTGGGACTTGTAGTCCGGTTGTGTAAAGGCCACGCAGGTTCCTGGCGTTCTGAGTTCCGCTGTCCCCTTGGCCAGCCGTCACAGGTGGGCTGTACAATCCCTAGGAGTCGTCAGTGATTTGCCCTTCTCTTCTTGAAGACATTTTCTTGAGCGCTGACAGAATGAGACTTGTTCCCAGGTCTGTAACCTGTTCCTTGAGGAACAGTAAGAATAGTCTTCTGCCCTCAGGGAAATAAACAACAAAAACAAAAACAGCAACAATAACAATAACAACAAAAAAAAAAAAACGCAGTGAAATGAATGGAACCTTTGACGACAGAACCATGTGAGGACTTTACTTTTTTTTTTTTTTTTTAGCGCAGTCTTTTCGACTCTAATATGTAGATATCACCGTTCGTCTTTTGCACACGTGGAAACCTAGGTTTGAGGAAGTTAGCAAACACTAATCTCACTCCTGGGTTACACTCCAACCTGCCTCTGATTCAGAAGTCCCAGCAGCTAAGCCGGACCACAAAAATGAAGGAGGGCAAGCAAAGCTAAGGGCATGATTAATCATAGTTTTCTAAAAAGCCCGGGGAAGGAAAGAAGTTTAGGATGCATGTGATTTTTTTTTTAAGTTTAGTGAAGACTGGATGGATGTTGTAATGCGTTGCAATGACCGATTCTCAGGCTAACCGTTGGTAAAAATGACAAGTGGGTTTCTCTTGCGAAAGCCCATTTCTTTCTTTTGTGATAATTCAGCAGGTTGCTTCAGAATCGAGGAGCTTGGGTACAGCTTCTGTGGCCACAGCGAATTTCGCATTTGTTCATACAACAGTATTCAGCTGTCCAGAAACCTCTTGGTTTTACTGCCTTACCAATTCTATCTTATCTTCTCTGACCATTCAGGTGACAAAATACCCTTTCTTCCTTCACTCCTCCTCCTCTACTTTCAAAAGTGCAGGTGTTTCCTGAAGGTTTCCTTTTACCCCCTCTGCCCTTTGTACTCTTGGTTATTCTTCAGTGACTTCTGGCACAGATTCAGCCACCTTATCGCTCTAGTTGATTTCTAGATTTACATCTGACCTGAGGCTCAGACCTACCGTCTCCTTCAGTTTCCCTTAGATCTAGTCCAACAGAAACTCAAGTGTAAAATTACTTAATATTTCAGAACCGTGGTTACTTGTCTTCTTTTGTAGTTGGTGTCCAACTAGCTGCCAAATTACATAGATTCATATTTTTGCTATCTTTTAGATCATTGCCTTTATTCCGCTTTTGCTCCGCTCCAGATCTCATTATCTCTTTGCTGAGCCATTGCAGCAGCCTAAGTGATAACCCTACCGAAAAGGTTCTGCACCTCCATAAGTCTCTCCACGGATGCAGCAATCCAAATCACACCAAATCAAACCAAATTAGAAAAAGTTCAAGTTTAATGGACAAACTGCTCCCTGATGATTTTCCAGCGCTCCAGAGAGGAGACAGGAAAAGAGATTAAAAAAAAAAAAAAAAAAACAGCGTCTAATGGGGGGGGGTCAGTTTAAATACCCTGTGGGAGTGGTCTTGAGCATCTCTTGGGGAGGAGCCATATTTGGTGGACTTTCTGAGATGAGGCAGAATTTGGGGAGAGATAGGGGAGTGGGTGGAGGTGAAGCTTCCACCAGAACATTCCAGACTCTTTGGGTATATAGATGCCAGAGGTTGGGTGGAGCTTCCACCGGAACACCTACCACCCTGTTCTCTATACTGCCACAGAGTAAGCAGACATGCACATCTGCAAACATTCTGAATTCTTCCTCTGCATTCTATCTGCCTCTGCCTTCAAGTTCCATGCAGCAACTAAATAAATTCTCACACCATGTCCTTTCTTTATCTTTGCTCTTGTATCTCCTCTGTTACCTGCAATGTTTGTCCAACACCCATGGCCTATTAAGACTTGGCTTAGATTCCATCCCCACAAAATCATGCTAAACCTTCCAGAGAGTTTGTTACCCTCTATCCTATATACCAGGCTTTCTTTTTTTGGGCCACCATCCAGCTCCCAAATCATGATACAAAGACTTATCAATTATGAATGCTCAGCCTTATCTTAGCTCTTATTTTAATCTGTTTCTCTTTATCTACGGTTTGCCCCAGGACTTTTTACCTTTCCTTCTTTCTGTACGCCCTGGTTTCACTGCTTCTCATGGCTGACTGACTGGCGGCTGTCTGACTTCTGGCCCTGGACATCTCCCTCTCTCCCTTGTTCTGTTCTTTCTCTTTTGCCTAGATTTCTCCTCCTACTTATTCTCTCTGCTTGCCAGCCACACCTCCCCCTCTTCTGCCTAGCTATTGGCCAGTCAGCTTTTTATTAGACCAATGAGGTGTCGTAGGCAGACAAGGTGAAACAAATGCAACTCATCTTTACATAATTAAGCAAATGCAACATAGACAAATGTAACACACCTTTACACAGTTAAAGTAATATTCCGCAACAATCCTGTTCTTCCACTGTACTGTGTCTTAAATAGTGCAATTTCATGTGCACTGGATTGTATTCATTTGAATGGTGTTAACAAGCTTGTTTCTAAATAACCATTTTAGCGAGTGGGTGGTGGCACACACCTTTAATCCCAGCACTTAGGAGGCAGAAGCAGGCGGTTCTCTGTGAATTCAAGGTCAGTCTGGTCTACAGAGTGAGTTCAAGGACAGCCAGGACTGTTATATGTAGAAAACTTGGATTGCCTGAGGTACCTCATTGGTCTAATTAAAAGCTCGACAGCCAGTAACTAGGCAGAAGAGGGATAAGTCGGACTGGCAGACAGAGAGACTAAATAGGGGGAGAAATCTAGGCAAAAGAGAGAGAAGAGAACAAGGAAAAAAAAAAGAAGGAGATGCCAGGGGCCAGAAGCCAGAAGTCTTTGGATTGTCTTGGGAAAACCAAAAGACAGCAACAACCAAAAACAAACAAACAGCAACAAAAAAAGACAGTGCTGTGTCCACTCTGCTATAGCTGCTCAAGAATTATGCTGGAGACCTGCTTTGGCAAGGGGGTTCAGGTCCAAAAGAGGATGTGTGGAATTGGTGGAGGCGGGAAAAGAAGGAGACAGACACAATTGGAGGTGAATCCGGTTGGCTGCCAGCAACATTTTATTGAGAAAAGATTACGCCTTTTATACTGCATAGTTGCACATAGGGTTAAACTGGAGACAAGGGCCCTGGGCTGGGATGTAGCTTGAGTCAGGAGTTGAGAAAGTTGGGCTTGACTTTGACAATAGGCACCAGCCAAACGTTAACGAAAGGGCTGTTGGGAATATTATTTTCAGGTGTGTGACTTTTGTTTATGCTGCACTTGTTTTACTCTGTGAAGCTGTGTTACTGTGCCTGTCTAAAACACTTGATGGTCCTAACAAAGAGATGCCAGTAGCAAGGCAGGAGCAAGGATAGGCGAGGCTGGCAGGCAGAGAGGATAAATAGAAGGAGACCTGAGGAAGAAAGAGGAGCAAGAGAACAAGGAGAGGAGGATATCAAGGGCCAGCCACCCAACTGCCACAGAGTAAGAAGGAAAGAAAGGTATACAGAAAAAGAGAAAGAGAAAAAGCCCAGAGCCAAAAGGTAGTTGGTATAATTTAAGCTAAGAAAAACTGTCAAGAAACAAGCCACGCTAAGACTGGGCATTCATAAGTAATAATAAGCCTCTGTGTGATTTATTTGGGAGCTGGGTGACAGCCCCCCCCCAAAAAAAGCCTAAAGAGTAAAGCATCACACAACAAAGGACCATAACTGCTCTTTCAAGCAGGAACTTTCTTCAAGCTTCCAAGGGAATGGAGAACCTTATCCGAATGCCTGACCTTGGGAAAGAACTTCTTCTGGGGAGTTGGCATTTATATTAAAGTTTCTTAGTCTTACTATATGGGTCTGTTTCCCTCATAATACTCCCAAAAGGGAAGGTCCTGATATCTTACTCTTTTCCCATTATACCATACATTCTGATTTCTCTGTATTTATTAACTGGACTCTTACCCATTCATGACCTCAGGCTCTGGATCTGAATCCTAGGCATTTCATTCTTGGGATCAGGTTGAGAGAGTCCATTGGAATTCCTGGTTCCACAGTGGCAGGGATTTTTTATCCAAAGAATTATTTTGTTTCG